TGTAAGATAAATTGTATGACGTGTTGGGGTAAACTAAGCATCTGTCATAATAGTCTACCTAGATCGAACAAGGTAAGATATTCTAATTGATCGAGATAGATCCATTACTCGCCCACCGAACCAATCGGTCGCAGCCCATAAGAGATGCAGGCAATAGTCACTAACTGACCATGAAGTTAAGGATGCCATCCCTCCGTGGGCGAACTACTCTTGAGAAACTGAACATATCTCCAGGGACTTTCAATGGGTCTTTCTAAGTTTATCAGTAGACCTACTATTTTATCTCATAGATATAGAGAGGAAAATAGAGAATCAGAAGTTATTCTAAAATAAAAGAAATTCACTTTTTTAGCAATCACATCAATTGTGGGATAAGAAGCAACGGTCCTGGATAAATGATTTCAACATTACATGTTACATACGATACATAAATTAAAATGAAATAATTGAATTAATAGAACTGATCGAGTGTACTCCTTTCCTAGTTGGACAATGCCCACACGTGAATAAAGCCAATGTTTGGACAAGACAAATAACATCCAAAATCCGACATAATAGTGCATCTTTACGGTGCACTACCAATTCGCTAGTGCCAGTAGGTAATGTGTCACACTGCCATTTTAGACGTTAATGTTTGATCACAAACTCAGGGCCATGAGTTGATTGTAAGATATCAATAAAGTTAATCGTACAATACGATTGGAGATCATGTCTGAACATTTGATGTAAAAAATAGCTTTTAAAATTAGGTAGGATCTAGTAAACAAAGATTTTACAAATACCATGACATAAGATATAACCCCAAAAGAAACGACAATGTAAATGAGTGTGAACTAATAATTTTATGGCCCGAATTTTGCTTCAATGATTACAATCCAGATAGTGGATTCTCGAGCTTTCAACAAATGTTTATCGAATTATAACTCCTAATTTTCTCTACACGTGCATAGCAAATGACTTCCATATGTGGCACAGAGAGCCCTGACCTCCTACTAACTCATTTCATCAATAAAGTCATAGCTGCAAGGGACAACCCTTATTTTTTTATGGTTTGATTTCCATTATTTTTGAAATATATTTTTCTTTCTTTTTAATTACACATTCTTCAACAAAATAATATTACACGCAAACATAAAATTTTTCCTTATTTTTAAATCACACACTTTTCATCAATTTACTATTCAAAAATACATTTTTTGCCAAATAATGTGGCTCAAACATTGGCTTTATTCCTTCGTCGGATTCAGGAATAACGAGCCAGAAAATCTAGACTTTCTTTTATATCCTAGTTTGTTTGACTCCTCTGGGAGGTGGTGTATCATGTAAAGACGGCCCCTCCAATAATTGTATGCATTATGCAATCTTAGCTCCTATTTGATGGTCATTATTTAGCTAAAACAATGTTTTGAATAGTGAGTTTTTGGAAAAGGTGTGATTAAAAGAAAGTGAAAAGTTTGGGGTTTACGTGAATAATATTTTATTTTGTGGTTGAAAATGAGTACGTAAAAAAATGAATTTTCAAATAATAGTGTTACAATAAATATAGAATAATATAAAAAAAATTTATTGCAATAAGAACATAAACAAACAGAAAATGAAAACGGCAGAAATATGTTAAGGGGTGAAAATACTATAAATCTGCAAATCGAGGCATGTGTATACACAGTTTCCTTAAAACGTATTCGCCCCTTCACCGTAAGTGCTTGAAGTTTAGTTTGAATGTCTGTCTCCCAAAATACAACAGAAGAACCGGCAGAATCTGAACACTTCAATTTCTAATCATGAATTTGTGTTAGAACAACACTACCAAGACCACGACGAAAATGAAAATTTTCCGAGAACTAGAACTGAAATTTATGCAAAAGAGTGTGTAACTTGTCTGGTGTTGAATAATGGAAAAACAAGCTCAGTTATAAACTTGGCTCCCCATGAATGGTGAGTAAATTTGTAATTAACTCAATACTATAATGACAATAACCATTAAAGTTTCAACAGTTTCAGAAGCTAAAAAGAGTTGGAGAAAACAAAAATTAGCAGAATGTGGACACTTCTAAGGAGCCAATTTTTGCTCCGTTCGGTCCAACATTCGTGTACGTAAGTCAAGCTCGCACACAAGTTCAAGGCTCGATATACAATTTTTGGTCATTGATTTGCACCCCCATGAGCGCACATGTGGAGAGAGTCTTTATGCCACATATAATTACACACTTCCAAAGTATAACCATATATAAAGTGGTCATTGTTTTCATTAACTTCCTATGTGGTATAAATATAAATATAGTGTTCCCTCCAAAATAAATTATCTTTCAATTATCCACTTTGAACTCCAATTTCTCATTCACCCATTTATCATTTTGGCCAGTAAATATATGATTTCTATGTTTTCATGAAAGAGAACACGGATCAACTTTGATCTTCCAAATTGAATCAACGGGTCTCACCTAAAATTGTGTCAAAAGTAAGCTCAACAAAGCCATATTTACAATTCCCTCACATGAATGAAAATTGGAAGCAACATAGAAATGTGAGACATAAAGACTAGATGATATAGTTCAACAGTTGAAACCTGTATATGATAGGTAGGTACTATCATTTGAACTTTTCTTTGTGAGAGTATATTTACTTTACTAGTTGACTAGTAGACTCGCAGATTTTGAACTGTTATGCTATTTACGTAAACGATGATATACTCCACACAAGATTCTTCCTAACACAATTCGATTCTTATTATTATGTTCGTTTTTTGCCATGAGCATATGCTTGGTTCTGCGAGAGTTCTTAAGAATTGAACCCACAATTCTCTTAGAAATGGTCCAACTTCTTTCTCACGTGGGTGATTTCTTATTGCAAGTAACTCATATTACTTTGCTCGATTTTCAAAACATAAGAATCATTAAAAGCCTATTACTTATCATTCATACTTACGGGTATCACTGTTGCATCATAGAAATTGACAATGGGTAACATCCCCCATGGTAATTCAATTAAGTATTTACAATTAGATTATCTCTTTAAGCCTGGATCTTTAGATCTCCAGTCAACTTGGTTGAATGTCTTTTGTATTAACTTATCCGTTCAAGAGTTTTAAGTCTCATTCATTTCGATGATTTTCCAACTAACTATCTATTTCAAACAGGGAATTACTGTAATTAAGATTGAATAGAATTAAAAAAGAAAGGTATGTAAAACAGTATATACCATACAGATAATAACAATCGTGCAACTTAATCCTCCAAACTAGATTTAGGTATCGTTTGTAACAAATTATTTTGAAATGTTGACTATGGACTAAACAATTTATTCATGAAACCATTTGACATTATTTCATTGATTTATTCATATTTTGAATAAGGAAAGTTTAAGGTTGGACTCCCCAACCTTCTATGAAGTGTTGAATGGGTTTCTCAACATTCAAAACTAATGTTTTTGATTCCCCAACCCATTCAATACTGTGAAATTGGATACCCAATTATTAAGTCTCCACGCAATTAAAATATCTTATATCCTTATTAATATTAAAAAATAAAAAACCAAAAATCAAAATGAATTTCTTTTTTACTTTTGTTGAACTGACTTTAATGTGGAATGATAAAGAGAGCGATGGCTAAGATTACATCCATTCTTACACGTTATTCAATAAACATCCCAGTGCTTACTTGATACACACTAATAGATATGACTAGACAATAAAATAAGAAAATGAATCAGAAGTATTGCTTTTACCATCGTCTGATATTAATTACCAAACATGTAAAAATGAAGATAAGAGGTTCCTGGGAAGAAATCCTGCATACTACAGAGTTATATTACCCAAATCAAAGATACCGTTGACAAATTTCAACGACGACAAAGTCTCGACATTTGACCTAACCACCTACTCATTATGTCAAAATTCATTCAAATATGACCAAACAATCCCGCTTCTATACCTTGTTTGGTTCGGTTAAAAAAATTAAAATTAAAATCAAAATCAAAATTAACAATTAATTTCAACAATACATTTTATGAGACCCACAACTTTTCAGCCACATTCCATCAAATTTTATCAAAATCTATTAAAATTTGATTTTTATCTAAACCAAACTGGGCCTATTCAATTTGTGATCAAAATTGATACATATACATACAAAGGAAGTGCAGCCAAGACTGTGAATCTGAAAATGCATGTTCTCATTAATATAGTGCACTGCACTTGGAAGTGTTTCCACTCAGCCTTGAGACAACCTCAAAATCTGCTACAGTAATAAAGGCAAAGAATTTTTTGCCATGCCTCCACATGGAGTGACATGTATGTATTTATATCATATACAAAGTGACTCCAAGTTGATGCAATCATGCAAATGAACTGCCAAAATAAATTAAATATGCAGTAATGGCAATGTAATGTTTTCTTCTTCCATTTTCAATAGAATGGAACCTTAACTGGAAAATCCTTACAGCTCGGTGGCCTCTCGATCCCATCTGCACCTCAAAAGATGTCAATGGAAACACATGAAGTACATTAGCTTTAAGGCAACTGTGTAATCTTACACCGTGGATTCTTTAAATGCTTGTTCCAAAAGAATGGACAAGCAGAATTTAATATCCGGTCTCGAGAAAAAAACTAAAGTAACTTAGAATTGGTCAATCAGCTTCCAATGTGAAGAGAGTGAAGAATTTCAAATTCTGGAATGTCTGTGATGTGTTTCAGCCTTGAAGTGCAAAGTGAAATTGTATTGCAAGTTTATTAGTAGACGCAAATAATTGCAAATTGTCTACAAATGGTCCAATACTGTATGGTAGTCTAGAAATGCATCACCACAAAATAACTGAAGAACCCGAGTTTCAGTAAAATGGCTCTGAAACAAACAAACGAGAAGCAAAAATCCAACCATGTTCAAAACATGATGATTGTGTGTATTCATAGCATAGAATTATAAAAGAGATTAGCAGAACAGAGAAATATCATAAATAATTACACTGGACGTTTTGAAATTATAACAGCCAGATAGTCCAGAAAATCAAGAAAATTTAGGTTTAGGAATGGATGATGTATTATGATGCAAGGGAGCAAGTTTTTGAATCCAATGACGTAATCCCTTATTATCTTGACATGTTGGATTTTGTATTAGATTCAGGGTTCCATCACGAGCAAGAGAAGACTCGAACTGCTCTAATACCTTCACAATCTGCCAAAACTCAGGCCTCTTGTCCGGTTGCACAGACCAACATTGGTCAATCAAAGCTCTCATGGCAAGGGGACAATCATCAGGGATAGCAGGTCTCAAATTCTGAAAGAACCCAAACAGAAGTTGGTTTAAAAATTAAATAGCACTAAAATACATATTTTGAATTTTGTAACAAATGGGAGAAATGATATAAAATGGTGAAAACAAAAAGGCCAGAATGGAATGAGAAGTTGCTCATGAATCACAATATATTATTCAACAAATAATTCAACCCATGGCTTCAATGAATAGACACCACATTAACCAAATCCATAAGAAGCTCCAGATTACTCTTAATTTAATAAAGTTTAGCTAAAGGTGTAGCAAACATGACTTTTGCTGTGAATCACTCGTCTCTGTACAGGGCAATTTAAAAATCCTGGCATCACTAGGCGCAATCACCCAGTAAATTATGTACTCCTTGTATTGTTTAGATATTTCATTTCCTAGGAAAAAGGCATAAACTTAATCATATCATCTAAATTGTGAACAAAAATAACAAGTGGCGGGAGCTAACAACTGTTGAAATGAACTAGTATTGCCAAACAATTGAGAAAAGCACTAAAGGAAAAAAAAAAAACTCATCTTTAAAACATCACCAAAAAAACTGGAGTTTTAAAGCATAACAAACCTGCACCAATTAGAAGTACAAACATTTCAAACAAAAAGGGCATTCCACTAGTATGTAAATAAAGTGAATATCATAGATAGACAAATGAAACAACAAAAATCTTACCTTGTTCACTACAGCAAAAGCAGCTTGTATGGGTGTCATATCTTCGTGTGGAATAGTTCGTCGGTGTTTAAGGGTATTTTACTCAGGTTTCGGTATTTGTAGATGGAAGGCTGGTATTACGAAGAAAGCCTAGTAGAGTCCTCGGTAGGTCGCTATTCACGGTCCTAGTAGACGGTCTTCTAGTGTTATACGAAGGAGTGTTCGATAGCCAAAATCGGCAACTTTTAGGCGGAAATATTCATTGATGAGTATATTTTCTGGTTTGAGGTCTCTATGAATAATGCCCTGCGAGTGAATATATTCCATTCCTCTTGCAATGTCCAATGCCAACGTGATTAACTTTTGCAATGGAACAGGTTTATGCCCAAGCTTGTGCAAGTATGATCTCAAAGAACCTTCTGATAAATATTCTGTTATAATGCAAAACACTGGTGGCTTTCTGCAGGCTGCCACAAACTGCATTTCAAGATCATTGCAAATGAAATCATAAAGGACTCTGGCGAGCCAATAATTCTCAAACTTTATAGTAAATAACATTGAATTATTTTTGCATATCATGCAAAACTTACATCAAGCCATGAATTTTAATGGAAAGAATTTATACACGATGAAGCAAAGCATCAATTGTCTAAGCAATTTAATTTAAACACTTCAAAGAAAAGACAGGCCAACTAGTTAGTCATGGATAACAGACACGTGAACAGAAAAAAATACCTTTATTACATTTTCATGGTGGAGACGAGACAAAAGGGTAGCCTCCCTAGTGAATTGCTTCTCTAATCGTCCACCCAGGTCTCCATTTTCGTCATCATCTGGCGCTCTGATTATTTTCACCGCAACAGGTTGTTCCTTGTATATCCCATGGTAAAGCTGACTGTGCGCTCCATGAGCAAATCTTAGCCCAAGAAATAACTTAGAAAGATCAACCGCAAACTCGTCCGCAGTTTCTACAGAGGTGACCCTTCCCCCACCATGGTCAAAATACTTTGACCACGCCGACTCCTTACGGCTCTTAGTCTTCTCATGAAATTTCATTGACGCAAAGTGCCTAAGAGGACTAATATTTGCCGGAGACTTTGAACCAGGTGAATCCGAATTAGGTGCCTTGGTATCATTGGAATCTTTATGGAATAATTTGCCAACAATTCCTTTCTCTGGTCCTTTTCTTTTGGGAAGTGGAGTTAAGGACCTCTTCTGACTAGACCGGGCCTCTTTGAAGGCATCAGAAAGCTTTGTTTCAGGGACTGGGGATACAGCCCGGTTCTTGTTTGTGGTAGAGTTTCGCTGAATCTGTGGCACGATAGGCTCTGGATCTGTATTAAGGTTAGATGTTCTGGGCCTCGATTTGGCACCCAAAATTCTATCTGGCTGGATGGTTAAAGGAAGAGAGGCCAATCTTGAAGCATCCAACCGATGACAAACAGTATGAGAGAAATTTGTTCTCCTTATCCAAGAATTAGCCTCTTCCTCCATTTTGTACCAATCACACACCCTAGTACCAACTACCTACTCTATTTCCCTTTCCTCCGGTTCAAAATCAAGATTTTCCTCCAAAATCTCTATATGATTTACAATAATCCGAGCAAAAAAGTTCTTGAATTCCATTAAAACATGGAGAGTGAATAATCAAATTCTACCTTCATTGAAATTTGAAACTATGCAACCAACCAACAGTAAACAAATTCATAAAAAATGAACTTCAACCACCAAAATTAGAATCAAATAATTCCTTCAAATTTGACCACGAAGAACGGCAAGAAAAAAAGTCCCAAACTCTTGATCTACTTGCAGGTGGACCAAAAATTTACTCTTACATCGACCAAAATCATTCATGCAAACCTACCAAACACCATTTGCTACCACATCAAAATTTGATTTTGGCCAATGGCCGCAGATAATAGAACGCACTCCTTTTAGCTTCAAAGTCAAACACAAGTTACACCACGCTCCTTCAAAGCCTGAAAATCCCACGTACAGCCCAAGAAAAATGAATAAAAATATATATAAATGCACAAATCAACGAAATGCTAGTAGGAAAAAAAAAAAAAAGTTCAATCAATTAGCTTGAAAATAAAGAAACACCCATCATTATATTCCTCATTGGCCACTATAAAAATTAATCATTGCTTGATACAATCACACACAACCCACAAATAAATAATAAAAACAGAGATAAGAACCCTTTTTCTGAAATATAAAAATACCAACACCCGTATACGCATACAAAAAAATAAAAAATAAAAACGGATCTGACTTACCAAAAGGGTATATCTTTCATGATATACTTCCTTCTATTCTTTAAAATAAAATACAGATTCTACAAAAAAGGCATCTTTGACACAAACTCTCCTTCTCTCACCGATAAAACATTATTTTATTGATGGAAAAAGCTCAAAGTCCGTGCAGAATATTAATCATGGAATTGGCCTCTATCTCTTCCTATATCATGTGTGTGTATTAATACACGTATTGATACAGAATGGTTCCTGTGGAACCGGTTAAGGTGGGGACAACGAAGATGGAAGGTGGGGTCCGCTTTCGAAAGTCAAGAATAGTGGGAGAGAGAAAAATAGGGGAATATTATAATAAAGAATATTACCATTGAGACCCTCAATTTATTACAAATATAGCAACTAACTCTTTAACTTATTAATTTGGTGACTGCAGTTAACAATCTTTCGTTGTTTTAGCACTCGAGTCCTGAACGGACAATACCATCCTTATGCTTAATTAAAAAGAAAAGAAAATTGAGCATCTCTCTCTCTCTCTCTCTCTCTCTCTCTATATATATATATATATATATATATATA